ACTATTTATGACAAGGAATTCTAATCTTCTGTTCACCCCAACACCCACCGTGGTTGGTTACAAGAAGGAAAAAAGCCCTAGTGCATTCCGGAAATTGATGACCTGGGAATGGGGTGGGGGAGGCTGACCCCTTACCCCTCTTTGGTCAACTCCCTCCCCACTTCCATGAATTCACCTTTTCTTCCTTTGCATGCATCCTTTGCTAACTGGAAAAGACTTTGAGGTCTGATCCCTCACACCTAAATGGGGAAAAGGCACAGTACTATTGCATTAAACGTTAGGATAAGAACATGTCCTATCCCTTATTCCCTGTGCTTGCTTCTGCACCTCTTAACTGTGTGTATATGATGTGACTATATGTGTGTGTGCTCATGAGTGCAGGTGCCAGAGGAAGCCATAAGAGGGCATTGGATCCCTGGAGCTGCAGTTACAGACAGATGTGAACCACCTAATATGGATGCTGAGACCCAAACTCCAGTCCTCTACAAAAGCAGTACATGCACTTAATTGCTGAGCCATCTCTCCAACCCCAGGGCACAAAGTTTTTGAAATTCTTCCATGACTCCAATGTATAGACACAATTTGGGACCCATTGTGCTATTTTTAAAGAAATTCTGGGGTCTATATATTGCCCCTGAGATTATACTTGTCAAACTGGCGGTGGGACATGTGGGGCAGATAAACATTTTTCTCAGAAGGGAAAAACTTTCCAGGTGTTCTTCCACAGTAGCCTAGGCACATCACTGTGTGTGGTACTTGTTTCCCCGAAAGCAGCTCATTTCAGAAGAGGCGAGATTTCACTTTCACCTCACGCCATGGTTCCCTCCTTTGCTTCAAAGCCTGGAATGTGGTTAGAAGTTTAGCAATGTTCAATGAATTGATGGGTGGGATTGTGCTTCCCAACCTGTCTTCTAGTTCTGAAAAGCAGGAAGAAGCTGCTAAAATTCTCTAGGTGGAGAATCCCAGGTACATGACATTTAGAGAGAGGAGGAATCAGAAACCTCAGAGAGGAAGGGAGAGCAGGTGAAAGCACCAAGCTGCTCAGAGTCTTAGAAGGGAGACAATATTTTGATTAGTCAGTGGTGGCAGGGGAAAGGGCTCACAGCTATGAGTAGAGACCTCTGTTCAGTTGAAACTGAGATTCTTGACCTGTGCTGCAGTGAAGAATTTTGCAATGAGTCAGGATGAAGCAGAGTTGGAATTTATTAAGGAAAAGGTGGGGGTTTTGTTTATTTGTTTATGTGTGTGAGTGATTTACCTGCATGTATGTAAGTGTACCATGTGCATGCAATGCCTTGTGAAGGCCTAGAGAAGGCATCAGATCCCCTAGAACTGTAGTTATGGATTGTTGTTAACTGCATGTCAGTTCTGGGGATTGATCTCAGGCCCTTTGTCAGAGTAGCCAATGCTCTATTAACCATTGAGACATCTCTCCAGTCCCAAGAAAATTCTTTTTTCTTTTTAATTATGTTTATATGTGTGTGTCTGTCTATGGGTATGGGCATGTAAGTACAGGTGCCCATGGAGTCCAGAATAGGGCATTGAATCTCTTGAAGCTGGAATTACTAGCAGTTGTGAGCCAAACTTGGGACCTCAACAAGAGCAGTATGTGCTCTTAACCCCTGAGCCATCTCTCCAGCCCCTCAAGGAAAGGTTTTAAGAGCTGGTGTCAAGGCTGGAGAGTTGGCTTAGCAGTTAAAAGCACTGGCTGCTTTTGCAGAGGACCTAGGTTCGATTCTCAGGACCCACATGGTGGCTAACAACCATCTGTAATTCCAGGAGGAATCTGATGCCTTTTTCTGACAGGCATTGCATGACACTAGAGCACTTATATACATGCAGGCAATACACTCACACATAAAAATAATAAATATTTTTAAAAAGAGCTGGTGTCCTGGAATATACTTGTAATCCCAGCACTCAGAAGGCTACAGCAGGAAGATCAAGTTTGAAGCGACTCTGAGCTAGCCTGAGCTACAATGGGCTCCAGGGAGACCTTACCTTGACAACAAACAAACAAGAAATGTAAGATGTTTTGATATAGATTTAAGAATGGGATAGAGAGAGAAAAAGAGAGCAAGATTAGAAAAGACAATAACATGCAGTTAAGGGGAAGGTACTCAGGAGCAAATATGGACTTCTCCAGAGAGCTGCATTAAAGTGCTTGAAAACCAACTAACTAACTATATATGTGTATATTTATGATTGTTATTGCATTTTATTTATTGTGTGTATGTATATGTGGAAGCATGTACATGCCATGGTTTACATGTGGAGGTCAGAAGACAACTTGCATGACTCACTTCTCCCCTTCCATCATGTAGGTCCTGGGGGTTGAACTCAGGATACCAGATTTGGTACATGTGCCTTTATCTGCTAAACCATCTCTTGTCCTACAGATGGGAGATTTTATTTTTGGTGGGGGCAGGGCCAGACTGACCTGGAACTCCATATGCATCTGAAACTGGCCATGAATCTGGTCATCCTTCTTTAGCCTCCTAAGTACTTTGATTACAGATCTTTAGCACTGAGTCAATGCCATTTTGGGGCTTTTTGATTTACATTGTTTGAAAGGTTTAAACATGTCTCAGTATACTTATTTTCATTTAAGGAACCTTTATTTTTTTTCTCCTGTGTGTATGTGTGTGCATGTCTTATGGGTGTGTGTGTGTGTGTGTGGAGGCCAGAGGGCAATGACTGTAGTTCTTCATGTGTGGTCCTTTTGTTGTTGTTGTTTTTTGAGACAGAGTCTCTTACTGTCCTGGAACAACTTATGAGGTAGCCTCAGCTGTTTGCTCCAGGAACCCCAGGGATTCACCTGCTTTCCCACTGCTGGAATTACAAACACACATAACAGTACCTATTTTTTTTTTAAAGATGGGGATCAAACTCAGCAAAGCAAGTGCTTTGCCCCAACTGGGCTATCGCCCCAACCTTTTATTTTTGTGTGTTTTGGGTCTCCTGTAACTCACTATGTAGCCTAGTTAGTTCTCGAACACCTGACCCTCCTCCATCTCCCAGGTGCTGGGTCTACCAGTGTGTGCAATTATGCTCTGTTAGTGAACTTTTCTTTTATTACGATGTTTTTCTTTAACAGTTATTTATTGCCTGGGTGGTGGCACATGCCTTTAATCCCACCAGAGGCAGGCAAATATCTATGAGATCCAGGTCTACATAGTGAGTTCCAGGCCATCTGGGGCTACCGGGAGTATCTTTCTCAAAAAACAAAAAACAAACAAAAAAAGAAATTAAAAAAAATAATTCTTAGAAAATTTCATACAGTGTATTTTGATCACATTCAGATCCTTTCTCTCACCTCTACCCCTACTTTTATATGCCCCGACCCCCAACTTCATGCACGCTATTATAATTTTCCAAAAGTCTATGGAGTCTGATCGTGTTCCCCAAATGTTCTTGGGTGTGGGTCTATCCCTTGGAGTCTGGTCAACCTACAAGGCATTACTCAAGAAAAGAAAACTCTCCTAGTAACCTCCCTCATCAATGCTGGTTTTTATTTGGCATAGGGTTGTACAGGTTTTGTGCATGCAACTACCCTGCGGTATCCAAACAACTCGGTTTCCTTGTATTCATCTACCACCTCTGACTCTTAAAATCTTTCTGCCCCCTCTTCTGCACTGATCCCTGAGCCTTGGGAGGCGAGAGTGTGATATAGTTGTCCCTTTTAGGGCTGAGCACTCCCCAGTCTCTTGTTCTCTACACATTTACCAGTCATGGGCCTCTGTGTTAATCACCGTCTACTGCAAGAAGCGTCTCTGGTGAGCGTTAAGGATGCACTAATCTATGGGTATAGCAATAAGTCTTTATGGTTTTGTGCCTGTGTCAGTGCCCTAGGAAGCCAGACGAGGGTGTCAGATCCCCTGAATCTGGAGTTGTAGGTGGTTGTGAAATGCCCAATATAAGTCCTAGGAATTGAACTCTGGTTCTCTGCAAGAACAGCAAGCTCTCTTAACAATTGAGTCATCTCTCCAAATTTTTATTTAATATTTGAGATTATAAGGTGACTTATGAAGTGCATGAAAAGGTTTTCAGGCTAAGATTACAATAATAGGTCACAAGGAAAACAAGGTATATTTTACTATAAATAAACACTAATCATAATCTTGTTTGTGAGATTTTCATGATTCTCATAAGCAGGGGTGAGAGGTTCCTTTCCTTCCCGTGTGCCCTCTTTTTTTTTTTTTTTTTTTCTTTTCTTTTCTTTTCTTTTCTTGAAACAGGGTCTCCCTATAGCCCCAGCTGGCCTGGAACTCGCTATATAGACCAGGCTGGCCTTGAACTCAGAGATTCGCCTGCCTCTGCCTCCCAAGTACTGGGACTACAGGCGTGTGCCACCACGCCCTGCTTTTTCTTTTTAAAGATTTTATTTTTTAATTATGTGATGTGTGTGACTGTGCATGACAGCCAGGTGCCCAAGGTGGCTAGAAGAGAGTGTTGGATCCCCTGGGACAGGAGTTACAAGTGGTAAGCCAACTTATGTGGGTGCCAGGAATCCAACTCGGTGCTTGCACCTAACCCTGGGGCAATCTCTCCAGCCCCTCCTTTTCTCAGTCCTTTAGTGGTACTGTGATTTTTCCAGAGGATGCCTCTGTCACCCAGAGAGCGAAGGGCTCTTCAATCCTAGGAGGCACTCCAAGCCCACACAGGCAAGTACTTCATTCACTGCTGTCACTGGCTGCGCCCAGGGATGCCCAATACTGAGCAAGGCAAGCCTGCCCTGGAGATCAGCAACCGAAGGAAGCTGAATTCTGGAACAGGGTGGAACTTGCGAACACGTGTCCCAGCAGAGGGCTGAGTGTGAGGGATGCAAAGTGCAGCAGGCAGCGCTGGGAAGATGACGAGACTTATTCGCGGGGCCATTCCTCCCGGGGGCTTTTCTCGTCACCTCTTCACGCAGACGCCGGACGCCGGAAGACGCTGCCAGGCCACTAGCCCTGCTTCCGCCACCCAAAGCCAAGGGTAGCGTTAGGCGCCGCCCCTGCACCGCGCGCACTTCTGGACGCTGCGTCAGCCGCAGAGCTCCGGCATGGAGGGTGGCGGCCTGGGCTGCGCCGTGTGCGTGCTGACCGGGGCCTCCCGGGGCTTCGGCCGGGCGCTGGCCAGGCTTCTGGCCCAGCTGCTGTCGCCAGGTTCCGTGCTGCTCCTAAGCGCTCGCAGTGACGCGGCGCTGCGGCAGCTGGAGGAGGAGCTGGGTGCGGAGCGACCCGGCCTGCGCACGGTGCGGGTCGCCGCGGACCTGGGCTCGGAGGCCGGCGTGCAGCAGCTGCTCCGCGCGGTGCGCGAACTGCCCAGGCCCGAGGGGCTGCGGCGCTTGCTGCTTATCAACAACGCGGGTGAGGCTCCTGGGGGTTGGAGATCCTGGCGGATTCCATGTGAGCTCTCTTCCCCCACCCTGTTGGGGGAGGTGGAGGGCGAGCCCTAGAAAGTCCTAGTTGCGCCTGCTGGTTCGGCAAGCGGTGGAGGAGTATACCCCTGTAGTCCTTCAATGTTAGTCCAACCTGGTTTTCTAAAGCTTCTGTAGAACTTTCCCGACCGCCTAGATCAGTGCCCTCTGGCGGGAACCTGAAACAATTCCCTGTTTCTCTATAGAGCTCTACACTGACCCTAGTCCCACTCAGGTAAGTGTATTCTCAGCCAGTGGTTGGGTGATAGGGTCTGTGCAGAGTCGGGGAAGCGTCCTGGGACTTGGTTGGCAGGTGGCAAGTGGGTATGAGGAAGAACCCGGAAAGGCTGCATTATCATTTCTCCCGTCCCGTTTTTCAGGCACCCTTGGGGATGTTTCCAAAGGCTTCTTGAATCTGAATGACCCAGCCGAAGTGAATAACTACTGGGCTCTGAACTTGACCTCCATGCTCTGCTTGACCTCCAGTACTCTGAAGGCCTTCCCCGAAAGCCCTGGCCTCAGCAGGATTGTGGTTAACATCTCGTCTCTCTGTGCTCTGCAGCCCTTCAAAGGCTGGGCCTTGTACTGTGCAGGGAAGGCTGCCCGGGATATGATATACCAGGTCCTGGCTGCAGAGGAGCCCGGTGTGAGGGTGTTGAGCTATGCCCCAGGTAGGCAGGAAGTACTGCCTTGGCTGTCTCAGGGGCTGGGCAAGTGAGCTGATCTTTGTCCTCAGGAAAGAATCCAGACTATATTATCCCTGGGTTGTGACCTCTCACCCCTCAAGAAAAATACAGGCTCTAAGATCTTAAAGTTAGGGCTGGCAGGGAGCAGGGGTAGGGAAAAGGAGTGAGAGTTGTCTAACTAGCAGGTGGATCTGGGTAGTCTGAGATGTTACATTAGATAGAGTGTGAGAGAAGAGCAGGGTTTGGTCTGAAATGGAATTTTGAGACTGTGTAGTCCTGGCTGGCTTAGAACTCACTGGAGAGACCAGGCCAGCCACAGTCCTGCCTAGATCCTCGTGCATCTGCCCCTGAGTACTGAGAGCACAGCTGTGGCCCCCCTGCATGAAGAGTAGATTTTGTATGCTGGAGCTACCTTCCCACGTCCTCCTATAAAATGGGAAGATGCTGTGCACTTCACAGGGCAGTTTGGGGGACTGAATGAGTCCATGCATGTGAAAATAATCCTTAATACTGAAGCATTGTCTTAATTGGTTACATACACTTCTGATTGTTATATAAGACTGCATTATTTAGGCTAGAGAGATGGCTTTGTGGGCAAAGGCACTTACCACTAAGCCTTAGACCACCTGAGTTTAATCCCTGGTTCCCACATAGCAGAGGGAGAGAATTGAGAAAATTTAAGGTCAGCTGAGTATCAAAAAAAAAAAAAAATTGCCTTTATGTGTGTAGTTGCCTGCTTCTCTCCCTCAAAAGACATCCTATGTACCTGTATGTCCCCAGCACCTAGCAAAGCTGCATAGAGGCAGGCCAGAATAACTCTTCAAAGACAAGCAGACTGTTAAGTAGGGAGCACTTCAGGCTGAGCTATCCTGGAACCCTGAGTGGGGTGGAAGAAGAATGCTGAGATAAATAAGATAGGGCTCCTGTCCTCTTAAAAGTTAAAATCTATGTGGTCCTAATCTTATCTGACTAGCCTGTCAAGATTCCATATGCCTTTCTATTAGGCTTGTGGTTTCTATGGTTAAAAGGTGGTGACGTGTGGTGGAATGTGACCAGCAACTCAGGGGGAGATCTAGTTGCCTATAGCCTGTGGGAATAGGGTCAGGATTATGGGAACAGAGAGGCAGAATGGCCTGCCCAATGCCTTAGTGAGACAAGACCAGGATCCCAACTTGCTTCCAAAGTGCTGGGTCTACTCCTGTTACCTAGCCCTACATCCCATATATACATGGTATTTCTTGTACCAACATCAAACTCACCTGATCTAAACTCAGCCTAGACTCATTCAGGTAGCTGTCACCAAGCAGATTCCAGATGGGGGGCTAGGTTAGCTCTCCAAGGCTGCCCTGGGCATCAGAAGGAGCTGAGAGTTTAGGCATCCCTTAGGGCCTAAAGACAAGCAGAAGTCAGTCTGGTTTCCATATCAGTCTTAGACTGTTCTAATGGGTATCCAAAATAGAAAAGTCTGTTTGGGAAAGTAGCAAGTCTTCTCTCTGACCAGAGATAACAAGTGGTTAGGGCTAAATATGGTGGAGCACTTGAGAGGTGGGAGCAGAAGGCTCAGGAGTTGAAGGTCAGCCCTGACTACACAGCAAGTTTAAAGCCAGCTTGGGCTACAAATGAGCATACCTAAAACTAAAAAAGTGATTAGAAGACTTTCAAATATCAGGAAGGTGATTCTTCTTTAAGGGTTCTGTGATTTTTCTGTCCCTAAGCACCATTAAAATTTGGGGATGCCACAATTCCTACCTGAAGAATAAAAGGTGCTTTCTTGTTTTTATTTTGAGAGGAAGTCTCACTGTGTAGTTCAGGCTGGCCTCAAACTCTCAGTCCTCCTGCCTCAAGCTCTCCAGTCCCGGACCTAAAATTTGGTACCACCATGCCCAACTAGAAAGTGCTTATAAAAGAGTTGAGGAAGGGAGTGATCCTCTTTGGGTAGGAAGACTAGGAGTGGTTTATTACAGGTAGCTGAGTGAGTACTACCATTGAGGGCTACTTGGCTATTAGCCAAGGTGTTTTATAGAAATGCAGGTGAGAAAGCTTATTAGTGACAGATCTTCCACTGGGAGCCTGGTAGCTGGGTTTGCAGCAAGGAAAGAAGTGGCCCATGAATACTAGGCTAGGATGTTGAGAAGCCTGTGATGGGCTTGTGAGTGTGTTGTATGCATGTGTGTGCAGGTGTGTGAGCCTCTGCATGCATATGTAGAAGCCAGAGATTGATATCAGGTGTTCTCAATTGTTTTCCACGTTAGTTTTTGAGACATAGTCTCTCACTGAAACTGAACCTCACCAATTAGCTAGGCTGGCTAGCCAGTGAGCCCCCAGGATCTTCCTGTCTCTGCCTCCCAGCACTGGGATTATAAGTATGAGCCACCACACCACATTTTTTACATGAATGCTGGGGATTCAAATTCAAGTCCTCGTGTTCATGTAACAAGCACTTTTTGAGGAACTATGTGATTGCAGCAAAGTATGGCCAATTGAATTTATCAGAGGGCTAGAGGAGGAATTGAAGCAGGGAGAAAAGGAGGTTTGTGCAGAGGACCTGGTTGTCAGGGTGTGCAGATGCAAAGGTCTCACCTGGTCCCTGGTTGGCTGTAGGTGAAATGAAGAACATGCAGGGTTTGAGTGTCAGTGCAAGTAGGAAAGTCAGGAAGGTGTGCTACTTGCATGGGAGATGAAGAGCTTGAATTTGGACACGTGGTTTGAGGGACCACCATGTTCAGTGGACTTTGAGTCTGAAATTCAGTAGTGACTCAGGCTGAGCATGGTGACTCCCACCTATAATCCCAGCACTGGGGCAGCTGAGGCAGGAGGATCACCAGTCCTAGCCAGCCAGGCAGGGCTACATAAAAACACGACTGAAAAAGATGACAAAGTAGATGCTCTGGCCATTTTGACCATTCAACCAGGATAAATTATTGCCTCTGGTCAGCCCTGACTCAGCTCCACCCTCCACTATGCCCAGTAATAGCCTCTGTCCTTACATACAACTTAATAACTTTCTATCCACTAGGTCCCTTGGACACAGACATGCAGCATTTGGCTCGGGAGACTTCCGTGGACCCAGAATTAAGGAACAGACTACAGAAGTTGAAGTCAAAGGGGGAGCTGGTAGATTGTGAGAAATCAGCCCAGAAACTTCTGAGCTTGCTGCAAAAAGACACATTCCAGTCTGGAGCCCATGTGGACTTCTATGACAATTAAGCCCAGGTCATTGGCCTCCTGGCCTTTCTTCCCTAGTTTTGGGCATAGCCCAGGAAGCCTATTGCTGCTCATGTCTTAGCAATCCTGCAGGGCACAGAAAAGCCCTCAGGCGTAGCCAGTGGAGAGTGGCAGTTGTCAAAAGCCTTCTGTAAGGGGGGGAAGAGAGAGCGAGAGCGAGCTGATGGGTACTGGAGTTCTCTATCCTTTGGAAGAAAGAACGTCAGGGCTGGGATAGCATTTTTCTGA